ACGAATACAGTAAAGTTGCAGGATATAAAATTAACACACAGAAATCTCTTGCATTCCTATACACTAACAATGAGAAAACAGAAAGAGAAATTCAGGAAACAATACCATTCACCATTGCAACAAAAAGAATAAAATACTTAGGAGTATATCTACCTGAAGAAACAAAAGACCTATACATAGAAAACTATAAAACACTGATGAAAGAAATCAAAGAGGACACAAACAGATGGAGAAATATACCGTGTTCATGGATTGGAAGAACCAATATTGTCAAAATGGCTATACTACCCAAAGTGATCTACAGATTCAATGCAATCCCTATCAAACTACCAACGATATTTTTCACAGAACTAGAACGAATAATTTCACAATTTGTATGGAAATACAAAAAACCTCGAATAGCCAAAGTAATCCTGAGAAAGAAGAATGGAACTGGAGGAATCAATCTGCCTGACTTCAGACTATACTACAAAGCCACAGTCATCAAGACAGTATGGTACTGGCACAAAGACAGAAATATAGATCAATGGAACAGAATAGAAAGCCCAGAGATAAATCCACGAACCTATGGTCACCTTATCTTTGACAAAGGAGGCAAGGATATACAATGGAAAAAAGACAACCTCTTTAACAAGTGGTGCTGGGAAAACTGGTCAACCACCTGTAAAAGAATGAAACTAGAACACTTTCTAACACCATACACAAAAATAAACTCAAGATGGATTAAAGATCTAAATGTAAGACCAGAAACTATAAAACTCCTAGAGGAGAACATAGGCAAAACACTCTCCGACATAAATCACAGCAGGATCCTCTATGACCCACATCCCAGAATTTTAGAAATAAAAGCAAAAATAAACAAATGGGACCTAATGAAACTTAAAAGCTTTTGTACAACAAAGGAAACTATAAGCAAGGTGAAAAGACAGCCCTCAGATTGGGAGAAAATAATAGCAAATGAAGCAACAGACAAAGGATTAATCTCAAAAATATACAAGCAACTCCTCCAGCTCAACTCCAGAAAAATAAATGACCCAATCAAAAAATGGGCCAAAGAACTGAACAGACATTTCTCCAAGGAAGACATACAGATGGCTAACAAACACATGAAAAGATGCTCAACATCACTCATTATCAGAGAAATGCAAATCAAAACCACAATGAGGTACCATTACACACCAGTCAGGATGGCTGCTATCCAAAAGTCTACAAGCAATAAATGCTGGAGAGGGTGTGGAGAAAAGGGAACCCTCTTACACTGTTGGTGGGAATGCAAATTAGTACAGCCACTATGGAAAACAGTGTGGAGATTTCTTAAAAAGCTGGAAATAGAACTGCCATATGACCCAGCAATCCCACTTCTGGGCATACACACCGAGGAAACCAGATCTGAAAGAGACACGTGTACCCCAATGTTCATCGCAGCACTGTTTATAATAGCCAGGACATGGAAGCAACCTAGATGCCCATCAGCAGACGAATGGATGAAGAAGCTGTGGTACATATACACCATGGAATATTACTCAGCCATTAAAAAGAATTCATTTGAATCAGTTCTAATGAGATGGATGAAACTGGAGCCCATTATACAGAGCGAAGTAAGCCTGAAAGATAAAGACCATTACAGTATACTAACACATATATATGGAATTTAGAAAGATGGTAACGATAACCCTATGTGCAAAACAGAAAAAGAGACTCCTATGTATAGAACAGACTTGTGGACTCTGGGAGAAGGCGAGGGTGGGATGTTTCAAGAGCACAGCATTGAAACACGTATATTATCTAGGGTGAAACAGTTCACCAGCCCAGGTTGGGTGCATGAGACAAGTGCTCGGGCCTGGTGCACTGGGAAGACCCAGAGGGATTGGGTGGAGAGGGAGGTGGGAGGGGGGACCGGGATGGGGAATACATGTAAAAAAAAAAAAAAAAAAAGATACACTATGGTTGTGATAAAAAAATAAATAAATAAATTAATTAAATTAAAAAAAAAAAAGAAAGTGACTGCAAGTAAAGCTAACGTTAAATGAGCACTTTCTCTATGTCAACCAGTGTTATCAACACTCGAGGTAAATCTCACTTACCCTCACAATAACCCTATGAAGTAGACTTTTGTCATCATTTTATGGGTTTATAAGTAGATACATACAGTTTTAAGTAAATACATCAATATTAAAAGATAAATTTTTATCATGATGGCTTCCCAAGTGGTGCAGTGATAAAGAATCTGCCTGCTAATGTAAGAGACCCCAGATGCAGATTTGATCCCTGGCTCAGGAAGATCCCCTAAAGGAGGGCATGGCCAACCTCTCCGGTATTCTTGCCTGGGAAATCCCATGGACAGAGAGGAGCCTGGCAGGCTACATTCCATGGGATCATAAAGAGTCAAACATGATTGAGAGCTTTTACACTCCACTTATATCATGATAGATGATGAAATGATGCAAAGAACACATGAGACTTACTTAGCCTATCAAATATACCCAGGCTGAACTGAGATTTGAGTCATGGAGGTTTGTCACCACAATATATTCTTTTAATGATGACACTGCATTACCCTGGAGATCAAATATTTGATTTGCCAAAGTCATTAAAGTTGATGGAACAAGAAAATTGATATATGTAGCTTTTCTATTCTAGAAGCTGCATGCTACATTATTTAAGCACTACACTAAATTCAAAAATCTCATAGTCAAATGCCTACTATTAACTTTCACAAATATGAGATTTTGATCAAATTACTGATCTTTTAGAACATACTTTCTCCTTCTGCAAAATAGTCATAAATATTTTCAACCCCAGCTGTCTTTTATTTTGTTTTATATAGAGTTATCATTGTATTGATGCAGGAGAAGAATGGATAGTAAATATACAAGTGGCTGAAGCTTCAGGGTTATGTGGGTGAAATCTGCCCAGTTCAGCATCGGACAGCTCCAGCCCAGTTCTACCTTACTTAACAAGGGTGGAGGTTGTAGACGAGAATCATCACAGACCCCTTCTGCTGATCTCATTCCTGTTTCTGTTGTGACCTACTAATAGCTCAGCTCCTATTGGAATGATTTTCAAGGCTATAGGTGGTATTATTATAATAACAGTGAACGTGAGTGAAAGTGAAAGTTGCTCAGTCGTTTCCAACTCTTTGTGACCCCATGGGCTGTAAAGTCCATGGAATTCTTCAGGCCAGAATACCTGGTCTGAAGCAGGTAGGCTTTCCCTTCTCCAGGGGATCTTCCCAACCTAGGGATTGAACCCAGGTCTCCTTCATTGCAGGTGGATTCTTTACCAGCTGAGCCACAAGGGAAACATTCTCAACACTATGCTATTTTCAACACTTTTAATAAATGACCACTAAAATGCTCCAAAGCATCAATGATGTAGTAAAAGGTAGTTACAAATGCAAAAGAAATATTGGAATGTTTAATATTCATTAAATACAGAATCTTTAATATTTATCATATGTTCTTAATTCATGGAGTCTTTAATATTTAGCCAATGTTCTTACACTTCCTGTTGTTGATGTTCAGTTGCTACGTTGTGCCCAGCTCTGCAACGGTAGCATGCCAGGCTCCTCTGTCTTCTCCTGTCTCCTAGAGTTTGCTTAGATTCACATCCATGGAGTCCATGATGCATCCAATCATTTCATCCTCTAACGCTCACTTCTCCTTTTGCCTTCAATCTTTCTCAGCATCAGAGTCTTTTCCAATGAGTTGACTCTTCACATCACGTGGCCAAAGTACTGGAATTTCAACCTCAGCAACAGTCCTTCCAGTGAATATTCAGGGTTGATTTCTTTTTGGATTGACTGGTTTGATCTCCTTACAGTCCAAGGGACTCTCTCAAGAGTCACTTCCAGCACCACAGTTTGAAAGCATCAACTGTTCGATGCTCAGCCTTCTTTATGATCCAACTCTCATGTCTGTACATGACTACTGGAACACAGCTTTGACTGTGCGGACGTTTGTTGGCAAAGTGATGTCTCTTAGGAACACAAAATTACAGGAAAACTTGCCAGAGATTTTTCTGACCATACCTGAAATCTTGAACATAATAAACTTAGTACTTAAACTTGCATTATAACTTATCCATGTCTTATGTTGATCCAGAAGCATACTTCATGGAATCCTAAAGAAGGACCAGGTTTTAGGAATTATCTCCCTTGTCCCATCATTTATACTTCATAAATGGGCTCAACAAGATTTTCTCATTTCCCTTATCCCCCATCTTTTTTAAAAACCTGACAGTAGATTTTTCTGCTAGAGTTATGAAATAATTAATATAGATATGATGTATGCAGATATATATGGTAGAAACTTTGTTGTAGAGGAAGCACCATGGATAACCTGTATCATTTGTTATTTATAGCAGATCTTTATTAAGCTTCTATTACCAATGCGTTAGGCATGGGGAGTACAAAACTCAATCCAACTTATCCTCTATTAACTTACAGTAAATTAATACCATTTTAGTAGCAAAAAAAAAAAAAAAAGTCTTATTTGTCCTAGGACCTACTAGGAATGACAGCATTTCAACGTAACATTCTTGCAAATCCTGCAAGGTGATTATTCCAGTTCTCATTTTTACAGTGAGAAAGTGGGCTTGGAGAAGTTATGCTGAACTGCTCAGAATCAGAGAGCTAGCTAAACGCCAGAGTTGGACACAGGCGCTGATCCGTCTGGTTCCAAGTTTTGTGCATTTTTTCCATGAATCCACAGAGTATAATTTGCTTTGATCACAATCACACACAATCCCCTCTCAGCCAGCTATGACAGCCTGACAGGTTTATTTTCAAAGGTTCAACCCAGTGATTATGGAGGGAAGGAAGCCCATTCTTGAGCTGTAAAGAGGCCCTGGTGAAAAGAGGTTACCCAGCTGTGAAATGGGGATTCGGAGCTTGTTTGCTTGGCTTATTCCTGCTTAAATGTGTGTGCACCAATGTTCATCACAGTGTTTTAAGTGTCCATTGAGTTACAATAACATGGATTTTTCTCTCTCTATTTCAGGTATGGAAAAATCGTATCCACAAAGGCAATCCTTGACAAAAACACAAATCAGTGCAAAGGTATGTGTCAGGACATCTGTAAGTGGGCTCACACCCGTGTCTCCCACCGATGGCTCCTGCCAGGCGAAGTCTGGGCATCAGCTGCATGAGGGTCTGTGTGTACAGTATATGGCAACCTGTTTATAGTGATGCCTGGGCTTTGACGAGTAGTATTTCTAGTAACATTGCTCATTAATTTTTTTTTCATTAACAAACAAAATGAAAATCACAAATCAGAAAAAGTATCAAATTGCTTCAGCGTAAGACTAAATTACCTCCTAACAACTCTGGGTTGTCTGATTTGAATGATATCATCAGTGATGCAAATTGATTTCCTATATAAAAATGAGGAACTCTGGGGAAAACTTTCCATGCAAAACACATTTTCATTTATCTGTTGTTTAAGGCTTTAGCTACACTGTTTGACTAGGAATAGATTCACTGGTGGGCCCATTGTGTCTAAGCTTCAGCTGTAAGCATCTCATAGTATCTCAGAATTTGTATCATATCAAGGCTTTTTCCTTTTCCTGGAAATATTTCTGAAGTTATTTGACTGTATCTGTGGCTCATGTATTTTTCATGTGTGGGAATCCATACTCTTTTAAGGGTGGCATTCATTTATTCATGAAATCTAAATGGTCTGTCTTGCTTGACTCCGTTTTTACTGGAAAATTGGAATGCTTCCTGTAACATGTGTTATTTTCTCTTTCTCTAATCCAGTCATTTTTATAATACCCACATCAAGAAATATGTTAGATACAAGGTCATTCTAAACATTGCCCCTCTTTCTCATACGAATGTAATGTATACAAATTTTGGGGACATTTAAATGCTGCAGGTATATCCTGACTTAATTGGAGAATGGTCAGATTCAATTCATCAGTTAAAGAAAAAGCAGCATTCCTTTTCTCCTATAAACTCACAAATGCCCTAGGAATTTAGCTACTACAAGACAAAAAGTGGCAAGACAACATTTCTATCATCTAATAGCTCAATTTCTAGTTGAAAATGAAACTACCAAGAAAACCAAGAAACTAATCTTAATATATGTGTTAGGATTCGGAAGCCTAGTATATGTGAGAGTATAGCAGAGATGGCTACAATACAGGAGTCCACAAAATAGATGAGAGGAGAATATGAGGATTCCCTTTTGGAGAATGAAGTTTGAAAAGGCAGAATGAATGGGCATAGAAAGGTTGATGTTCAGGAGGAAGAATTTCAGAGTGTAATTGAGCAGACTCACATACCAGAAATAGAAAAATGCCCCAGTAAGGGTATCATTAGAAGGAAGGAACAGGTCAGGATTTTGGAGGCATTTTTAGAGTTATCCTGAATGTTTTGAACTTAATTGTCTGCATAACTGTTGCTTTTTTTTTTTTTTGAGCAGAAATGATATGATTTTATCTTGAGTTCTAGTTATTTTGCCAAAGTAAGTGAAATGGAGTTACAGAGGGGAAGAAACTGGAGGCAGAAAGAAAACATTGCAGATTTGAAACACATAGATGACCATAAAAATGAGGAAGGTCCTCCACGCACTGGTAGAGAAATGGAAAGGGAGCTACCATGAGTTTTCAAGGGTAGAATTAGATATTTTCTGTGAAGGTGAAAGGACATGGGCAATGAAATTCACATATTGAACTGTTGTGATTGGGGAGGAGGGCTGTGTCAATGACTGAGGCAGGAAGTCCAGAAGGGGGTATGAATGAGTCTTGGGGAGAAGTGCTGAGCTGATGTATCAGGTGCCCTGATCTAAAGGTCCTGGGGTAGCATCCTTGAGGGAGAGGTCAAGGCAGACCACAGGGAAGCTCAGAGTTGCTATGGTTACCATAACGAAGGGAGTACACATGATAGCAAAGGATCCTTGTAGGGGAGGGGATGGAGTGGGGGGCATGATGTAGGTGGCTAAAAACAGCCTTGGTTGATGTATTCGTAGAGACTTGGGCCACGACTGTGAATAACTCTCCACTGTCATCCTGTGGGAAGCATGTGTGTGTGAGAAGCATTAGACTGTTAGTTATATTGCTTCCAGACATGCCTGCCTGATTCCCAAAGTCTTTGGGTTAAAAATATTTATGGGAACAGGCTTCCCTGGTGGTTCAGCAGTAAAGAATCCATCTGTAGTGCAGGTGCCCAGGAGACCTGGGTTCGATCCCTGGGTCGGGAAGATCCCCTGGAGGAGGGCATGGCACCCCACTCCAGTATTCCTTCCTGGAGAATCCCATGGACAGAGGAGCCTGGAGGGCATCAGACCATGGGGTCGCAAAGGAGGCAGACACTACTGAAGCAACTTAGCACGCACGCACTCGTCTATAGGAACAGAGAACATTGAGGCACCCGCCTCAGGCAGACAGTTATACTGACAGAGCCCCTCTCAGAAAGGCAGATGCTTCACAGACAAGTGAGTCCTGCAGACCACAGTGGATCCCATGACATGTCTGACCCATGGAGTGGTCTACATGAGGGGACCCTCCACTAGGCAAAGGTTTGCTCAGAGTGCAGGCGTCTCTTGTCAGTGTACAATACTGGGGACAACAAAAGGCTTGATTGCTAACCTGGAAAAACCGTATTCTTGTACTGTAATAACAAGGTTTGAAGAGGAAGAGGATGTAGCTGAAATGGATTGTCAGAGTTCCCATGTGCAGCTATCTCTTAATTGTGGAGTTCTTGATCTGGACAAATGCTGTGGGTATCCTTCTCTGAACCCCTAAGACTCCTATTCACATTACCCTCTAACTGCTTATTTAATTGCCTCTGTCTCTCTCCAAAGAGACCTTTTTAGTCAATGAAGACAGGACCTGTGTAATCTAGAAAATGTTATCTTCGGAGCAGGGAATTGCAGGGGAATGTGTCATTGTCTATTGGAAAAAATATTAGAACATGTCTTTGTTTTAAAGTCAACTTTCTGGGTGTGTTTTATAATGATTTATATCATTTTTATATAATATAAAAATTTTATTTTTATATCAAAATTTATTAGTATATAAATTTATATCAATATATAAATTGATATAAATATATCAAAATTTATATCAGTATAAATTTGCAAATGCTTGCTTTAAATATATAAATTGCCTCTGTCTCTCTCCAAAGAGACCTTTTTAGTCAATGAAGACAGGACCTGTGTAATCTAGAAAATGTTATCTTCGGAACAGGGAATTTCAGGGGAATGTGTCATTGTCTATTGAAACAGATATTAGAACATGTCTTTGTTTTAAAGTCAACTTTCTGGGTGTGCTTTATAATGATTTATATCATTTTTATATAATATAAAAATTTTATTTTTATATCAAAATTTATTAGTATATAAATTTGTATCAATATATAAATTGATATAAATATATCAAAATTTATATCAGTATAAATTTGCAAATGCTCACTTTAAAGACATAAATACATACATATTGAGTTTACTGTTCCATAATATTTTTATTCATAATCATATGGATGTAAAAAGTAGTTTGGGAGAGTACTTGTCTCAACCATAAGAAGCACTGATAAATTTGGAAGGAGAAAATGGGGGGGAGGAAAGGAGAGGAGAAAGGGAGGAAACACCTGGGGACATCATTGGAGGAAGGGTAGGTAAGGAGAATTTTATGAGAGGTAGATCTTTTGTCTTGAGGCTCACGTGAAAAAGTTAGGGTGATCATGTAGTCTAAGACTCCAGGGACCTTTTCTGGCCTCAGTGTTTTGAGCCTGTGGATGGCAGTGATAGCCAAAACTCAACTTTCACCAAGCACATGATGAGGTGGGGGGCGGGTAGTCTAAAACTAAACCTTCGTTACAGAGAGATACTACTGCTACCTCCATGTTTGGGGAAAAATACTACTTTAATGGTATTTTTGAGTCATATTTAGAGTATTTTGTTTTTCAGAAAAATGGCCCCTAAAATAGTTACAGATAGAAACTCCTTAAAATTGGAAGTGAGAGTGCAATTGCATCTATGGAAAATAGTTTATAGTTGATGTGTACAGGCGAGTTGCTGAAGTTGGGAGGAAGGTGACTGTGACATTCAAGGAGTTGATGGGACAGACCCCAGAGCAGCACTGAAGTATTGATTTAAATAGCCAAGAATTAGAGCAGGTGTAATGTTGGAAAAATGGACTGATCCTGAAAGTATTTGTGGAGAAATAGTAGGAAAGATACCAAGAGTTTGAAGACCATTGGGAACATGAAGGCATGTTGGTTATAAACTGCTGTGATGTGAGATTCCAGTTGAAGACTTGAGGTGGGAGGGAAGCTATTCAGAGTTAGGAGCAACAGGGACTCCCCACTTACACATCCAATGAGAGAAGGGGTGGTAGGGGGAAAACACATTTGGGAGGGCTACAAAGGCCCTGTGTCCCCAGGATGAATTAGTTAGTGATTGGAAAGATACAAATTAAAGCAATGTGCAGTGATCGTTTACATCCACTCACGTTGCAGACATAACTTGCAGGCCCTCCAATGCTGGACGCTGTGAAACTGATTCACCCCTTCTTTATTTGTTGAGCTCAGTCACTCAGTCATGTCTGACTCTTTGCTACACTATGGACTGTAGCCCGCTAGGCTCCTCTGTCCAAGGGGTTTTTCAGGCAACAATTTTGGAGTGGGTTCAGTTCAGTTCTGTTCAATTCAGTCGCTCAGTCATGTCCAACTCTTTGCGACCCCATGAATCACAGCATGCCAGGCCTCCCTTTCCATTACCAATTCCTGGAGTTTACTCAAACTCATGTCCATCGAGTCAGTGATGTCATCCAGTCATCTCATCCTCTGTCGTCCCCTTCTCCTCCTGCCCCAAATCCCTCCCAGCATCCAGGTCTTTTCCAATGAGTCAACTCTTCTCATGAGGTGGCCAAAGTACTGGAGTTTCAGCTTCAGTGTCAATCCTTCCAATGAACACCCAGGACTGATCTCCTTTAGGATGGACTGGTTGGATCTCCTTGCAGTCCAAGGGACTCTCAAGAGTCTTCTCCAACACCACATTTCAAAAGCATCAATTCTTCAGCACTCAACTTTCTTCACAGTCCAACCATCACATCCAT